TCTTCTTCCCTTTTACCGCAGAGGGCTATACAGCAGGACAGAGCAGGGTAAGGGAGCAGGAAGTTCATGCAGTGGGTTTGATGCCCACAAAACATTCGGGACAGTCGCAAGGGTCACCCCAAAGCCCAGGCATGGAGAGGACTGGCTAGTACCTGCACCGTGCATGGTATTTCCTCCGGCTCCTTCTTCACAGCCTTTCTCCTGGGTGCCTTCGGCATCTCCTGCCCCTTCCCCGACTCGCTCTTTCGCTTCCTGGGGACAAGAGCAAATTCATCCCACCGAGGCCAAGCAGGCAAAACCTGCAGCAAACCCCTTGATGGTGGAAATAAGCCATGGTGTCATGCCACACTGCCTAACCCTTATGGCCAGCAGCACCAAAAAAGCGCTCCCAAAAGGAAATTTAGAGGGATTTCCCTGCTAACCATTTTAGGGCCGAGCTGCCCAACAGAGCCAGCTGCAGCAAGCATGATAACGTAATGCTGGAGGTCCCCAAAAATCCCCTGCCATGCCCCATGGTACCCACCTGCTACTGCTGTTCTTTGCTTCACTGGCCCTTGAGGCTCCCATGGCTCCGTCCCCTATCAGCTTTTCGAGATGTGACATGCGGTTAAGGCAACATCCTCAAGGATGGCCACTACAACAAGACAGAGACAGCAAATAACCAGTAGCACCCCAGTTTTGCTCTCAGGTAAACCCCAGTAGATGCTCACTCCCCAGCTCAACCCTGAAGTCTACAGATACCCACAAGGTTAAGCTCAGCTTTAACAAGGACCCAAGTAGAGCATCAAATGGAAAAATCTTGAGCTCAGTTACAGGTGGTAAAAATAAAATTGCTGCCAAAATTAAAGGAAAGCCCCTCCAAATAGCATAGGAATTCCCAGGTCCATATAGGCAGATGGGGGTTGTGTGCTGGGTTGGATTTGCAGCCTCAGAGCAGCCCTGGGTCTGCAGCACACATTATCCAGGTCCTAATTACACCCAGAAAGCCACCACAATGGAAAATAAAACACTGCAATGAGATAAAAGCAAAATTGAGATGTTGACTCTCCCCATCAAAGCAGGCAGCTGAGCTGCCATCACCCAGCTATCACCTCTCCTTTTCATGGCTTGAGCAGCCAGACCCCCCCCAATCACCACTCCCCCAGAAACTCAAGGCCACAGAAGATGCAAGAAATAAAGATCAAATCCAAACAGTACCAAGGTAGTCCTCATCCATGAAGGACCTTCACCCTTGAAGGAAAAAAAAAAAAAAAAAAGAGACTTTTCAAGGAGAGAAGAAAAGCTACAAAGCACCACCACACATCCTGCAAACTTTTCAACAAGTAGAAAAGGCACTGAAAACCTCCATATTTTACCAGCTTTTGCCAAGCTGTGAACACTCGCAGCTGCCGGTGGGACCACACTTACTCAAGTGCAGGCTGACATGCTCCCTCAAAGCCACCCAAACTAGAGAAGACCTTACCCCTTACCCAGCTGCCTCCCTAAGGGCAATGCCCCCCCTGCAGGCAGCTTATTTAAAGACTCCCTCGGCCCTGATTGGAGGCTCCCAGCCCAAGATGTACCCTGGGAAATGAAGTTTTAGCCCAAACCTGAATTTGAGGAGAACCCCTAGCCAACATCTCCTTAGCAAGAAGACCTGCTAGGGGGAAAAGGCTTTGCATGGCTCAGGTGGAGCATGGGCGCCAAATGGATTGCTTTAAAAACAGCGTAGGAAGATCTCCCTCCCATGAGATATCCCTCTCCTCTGCAATCAGATGATTGAATTAGTCCCAAAAATCCAGCCTTTCTCAGCTGCCTCTTACCCATTAGAGCCCCACAGTTGGATTTGAAGAGGTCTGTTGAACCCAGGCACTGGGTACAGAGACCAAATCCCACAAGGTGCCACATACTGTAGCCCATAATCCTCCCCCTGAAGCACTCACCCATCCCACCCTTCTCCAGCCCTATTCATGCAGGTGAGACTATTGCTTTCACCTGCCCACGTTGCCATCAACCACCTCATCGCAGCTGAGCCTCGAAAAGGCCTCAACCATCTTCAACCCGGTGCAAGCAGCGCTACTGGGAAGGGACTGGTGCAAAGGGGCCATGGGGGGCTTTGGACAGCATGAAGGAACACGAGCTTTCCCCAAAAATGCTGGGTTTGGGGGTAAAAAAACAGGCATTGCCCCATGCTGAGATCCTTGGCCATGGCGAGTAGCGGGGCCACGCGTTCCCCTGGGAAGATGCCGCCCGGTTCGTGGCCGGGAGCGGAAACACCCAGAGGCAGGGCTGGCTCCGGGAAAGCCTCTTTGATCCCAGTTGCGCCACCCATGGAAAAGGCATCCAAGCCACCTTTCTTGCTGGATGAGTAAAAGTCGTCAAGGGATGGGAGCCAGCCCCGGGGCAGGGAGCAGGAGAGGACGACTTCAAGCCGGGGCTTGTTCGCTCTTGGCCGCCTTCTGCCAAGCCAGGGACCGGCGTATATTTGGGTTTTCTTCCATTTTTACCCTGGGTCCCATATAGATTTGTTCAGCTCTGATGTTTGGTGAAGGTTTCTCCCAAGCTCTCCATGCCAAGGTTTGCAGGGGGGGTGAGCTGGGAGAAACCTGTCCTGACCTAAACCAGCTCTAGTTTGCCTATACATCCTGCTCAAGCACAACCTGGGTTAAACCTCTTAATAATTAAGATGAGTTTTATATATTTTTATGTATTTTCCCTTTGCAGATGCTCTTCGCAATGGGAGAGGTGGGAGCAGGATGGCTCCATCCAGGGCTCTGCAATGGGGAAACATGGACCACAAAAGCAGTCTGGCTCATCCTTGGGAAAAAACAGGCTGAAAATGGGGTCCTTGCACGGTTCAGTGACACGGCGGCAAGCTGTTGAGGGCCATATCGGTGGCAATATCCTGCAAGCTGTTGATTGCAATCGGGCTGAATGCAGCTCCCTCATCAGCAGAAGAACAAATACCTCTTCCTACGCACTCCCCGGTACGCAGACAGTTGCGGCCACACGATTAAAAGCACTTTTCTTTGCAAACCGCTGCAATATTCATCAGGAAAAGCATTGCTGCCATTCCAGTTTAAACAGTAATTCCGCCTTTCTAGTCCAGTGGCTCCTTTTGGGTTGGGAAATCCAGGAGGGAGACAAAAGTCCGTCCTACCATACCTCCCTGGGATCATGTGCCATCCTTGAAGTCCCGACAAGGAAAAATTGGCTAGGAAAGGTGGAAATGGTTTAATATATTCAGGCAGTTATAAAATAAATTCATGTAATATAAAAGGTTTTATGTATGCCGGGCTAATTTTTTTTCCTCTCGTTAAACAGCTGAATCTGCATGGGGTTCCCCATGCCCTATTGACATAAATAGGATTCATCACTCACAAGCACCATCTCATTAACTTCGTTACGGAAACGAAGCTAGGCCCTGGTAAAGACTAAGAGACCTTCTCGTGGTGTGCTGGTGACATGTGCTGGTGACAACCCAGGTCAGCATCCCCGTGCCGGGTGCTGCACACGTTAGTGTCCTGTGTGCATCTTGGGAATTGGATTTTTCCAACCCCTGGACACCTTTCCATAAAATTTTGCTGGATTTAATGCTGTCGTCCAGTCAGGCTCATGTTTTATGAACGCAATTGAGAGTAAAACCCTTCCGTGGTTCAACAATATGGCTCAGAGGGGGGAAAATGGGGTAGGATTTGCCTGTATCTGGCTGGAAAAAGTAAGAAAGTTGATTGTATTTTATTTCTTCATTTATTTTTATATTGTATTTTGCCTTATATTGTGTTTTGTACAGGAGCAGTGTCAAATGGTTATAGCAGGGTGAGGGCAGAGCAGACCCAGGTGTCGCCGAATTTGCTCTGGCAGCTGTGCGAGCTGCAGCGTCACCATCCAGATGTTTGGGGGTTTGTTGGGTTTTTTTGGGGGGGGGTGATGTGGCCAAGGGAGCTTGGGGGACACGAATATCGGCGCAGGAGGACTGGGGGGCGGCGTGGGGGGGGGGGGGTGTACACGATGGGTGCTGCCTTATTGCACCCCCCCGCCACCACAGCAGCCCAGATGTTGTGCGGGGGTTGGAGGGCCTGAAACGGGTTGGGGGGGCGCCCAGATGTGGCCGTGGAGGGGG